ACACTTCAGCAATAAACAAACACACACAGATGTTCGTCTAGAGTAATGTGTGCTTATTAGTACGCTTGAACCGGATCATCAGAAGCTAATAGAATGGGATTAAATACATAAAGCATATTTGTGTTGTTTAATATTTAATTATTGCAGGTTTGCTTCATATTCTGAGTTGCATTGTTTTTATTCATTTTGAGGAATACTGAAACTGTGTTGTTGTTTTTTTGTGAGTGAGATGAATTAATGCATATTTATGTTAGAGCTACAGTAGCATCTGATTTCTCTCAACATGGCGACAGCAGAGCTGTCAATCAATACATTGAAGAAGAAAAAAAGTAACTTGCGTTACTTATTTGAAAAAGTAACTCAGATATTCTCTTGTGAATTAAAAAGTAATGCGTTACTTTACTAGTTACTTGAAAAAGTAATCTCGCGTTACTTGTAATGCGTTACCCCCAACACTGCATATATAATGTAAACAAAAAGTTTTATTTCGCATGCGATTAATCGTTCGACAGCACTACTCTCTCAGAGAGCCAGAGGAGGATGTTTATTTTTAATATTGCATATATTTTGATATTTCGTTTATGCTGTTCTTGCCATCTTCCGTGTGGTGGGATTTTATTTAATTTATTTAATATTTATTAATTACGTTGTTTTGCTGTGCGTCTGCGAGGAGGGATGTAAGCGGAGGATCTGGCGTCTCGCGCTCAGTCCGCAGCGGGAGCTGATGGAGGCGCGATGGCTCCGTTTCCCGACGAGGTGGATGTGTTTACCGGGCCTCACTGGCGCATGAAGCAGCTGGTGGGGCTCTACAGCGAGAAGGTTAGTTTCTGACACGTCTTACGTCTTATTTTACCCCCTGAGGGAGTTTTTTAACTCGTTTAATGGTGTGTTTTGAGGAGCGCTAAGTGTTAGCTTGACGGCTAATATAAACAAACCGAGTTTAATGTGACCGTCTGATCTCACATCAGCACAGACACTTCATTTCATCTTTATTTGTATGTATTATTCACACTGTATCCCATTCGTATCCTTAGACGGAGGCTATGAGAGTTAAACAAGCATGTCTGATCCCAGATCTGTGCAAAACACGTTATTAAACGCGATGTAAACAGCATCGTGACTTGCATACGGTTGCATTTATTGTGAATGTCTGATCTCGGAGCTTTAAAAACCCGTCGTTTGTATCGACTGATAATGATATAAACACTCAGGCTCCTCCTAACCCACGTGACATATGGAAATAAATACGCAGTGTCTGATAATATTGCAATGTATTGAAAACCATTATTCTTCTATTTATTGATTTGCTAGCACAGTATGAAGCTCTCACTGCCTCGTATGTAATCGTGTGTAGCTTTAAATCCTGCACGGGACATCACACAGTCTGATTATGTAAGATGACGCGGGTGTGTGTGTGTGTATGTGTGTGTTTGCTGTGTCAGTAGGTTTGTTGTGTTTAGTGCATGCACACACTCACACACACACTCTCTCTCTCGTATCTCAGCTGCAGGGTCGACAGCGTCTGAACTCTTGAGACATATGACACACGTTCAGCGTAGGCCTGTCGCAATAATCAATATATTAACTTATCGCGCAATATATGTACATGACCTCAATCATTTTTGGTGACGCAATATATCGCTCATTATATTTACTTAAACATTAATGTCACCATGTTTTGTACATTGCACTTGCGCCTGTGTCTTCTTGTACATAATGTGTAGTCATGAGGTGCTCGTTCAGATTTAACAAATGCTTCTACAAACAATGCTTCATCTGCAGTTATGATCTTGTTTAGGAATCTGTGTCTTTGTGCGTACGTACATCTGAGTGCTGAGTAGTGCTTGTGTTTCTCAGCAATAGTGTGCACCCTTCATTTACAGAGAAAAGAAGGTCAGGGAAAATCTGTAGATGGAAAAATCTCCATAATTAAAATTTTTTTTGTTACTTTGCACTTTTCGTTAGAAAATGTTTATTTACTATTTATTCAAGTTTTTAAGGTATCTAATATTTTTTCATTTCCATGATCTAAATATTCTTAAGAATTAAAAGTTTATCATTTGGAAGTGTAGGCCTTCTTGCATTATTATGCTGTTACATTATGATTATATATTCAGTGGCATAAAATGGTCTTTAAAATGACAATAATATCGCTTATCGCAGTTATTTCTAAAATAACAAACTTAAAAAGTATGTATAAAAACATATATATATATTTTTTTTAATTATTTAGTTGGATTTTATTTTTTAATTATCTATTTTATTTATTTGTTATAATCACGTCATTTAGTCATTTTAATCTATTTATCCAATTAGTTATATTTAATGTTTTATTTATTTTTATCTTGTTTGTATTTTTATTTTCCTATATAAACATATTTAAATTTTTTTTGTTTAGTTCTTAATTCATTTAGTTAGGATTTATTTTTATTTTCTGTTTTTATTTGTTGGTTTTAATCAAGGTTTTATTGATTTAATGTATGTTTTAAATTTATTTTAATATTTTTTTATTTTAATCTATTCATTAAATTCGTCAGATGTTTTATTCTATGTATGTTAATTTTTAATTTTTTTTTTTTTTTTCACTGTAACCATTTAAAAAACTAACAAAAATGACAAAAACAAACAACAAAATAAAATTATAATTAAAACTGATGCAGTATTTCAAAGACATGATTACACTAAAATAACACATTAATAAAAAATAAAGCAGATACACAAAGTTCAGCAGCAGCAAAAACAGCCATTTATTTGCAATGGCCAGAGAAAAGCTGGAAAAATGTTAATGGATAAACGTTTTAAATTATTATAAGAAACTA